TGCAGTGAGTGACCACAGGCAAGAAACAGGAAAGAGAAAGAGAAAATAAAAATTTCTAAAACCTCCCCAAGGGGGCTTCAGCTGCTGGCTGGCTTGCCAAGATGTTACCGTGGGTGATGGGTCGGGGATGGGTTCCCTGGTTCTTATGCAGTGAGCAAAGCACTGGATGTGGCATGTGACAGGAAGGCAACAGCAGCAAAGTGTAGCAAGCAGATAGTCTGCTCTGAGGGACAGCTCACACCAGCGAAAGGAAAATAGCACATGTGTAAAGGAGTCTGCCGGAGCACGAGTGATGGGTGCCAAGACACGTCAGCTGCGTCTACTGTACGAGTCCTTTCCCATTATCCACCACTATCACAGTGTATGATGTGCAGTCCCTACGCGTGGAACGTCAGCAAGCTCCAGGTGAAGGGAGGTTACTATAGGTCGGTGGTGGAGAAGCCCTGGCATGTGTGCCACAGCGGGCATACAGAGCCCTCTCTGGGGGCATGTGAGCCAAGTCACCCTAGCAGCTGAGCAACGGACAACAGTTGTTTTGGTTTTTTTTCTAAAACCTCAGTATTCAGATTTCACTGCAGTGTTGACACTCTGCAATAAATAAGGGTTTAGGGTTACGCTTTGGGCTCTGGGTGGAGGTGAAGCAAAGGGTTGTGGTGAGCATGCACCCTGGTTTGAAAGTTTGGAGTTCTCTGGGATGGGCTTTGGGGGCGGGGCTTTGTTTCCCTTATCTCTGCCTCCCTGCAGGAATCCTCAGGACAAGGGTGGGGTTGGGGCGCTGCCCAGGTTTAGGTGAGTAGAGGGCGGTGGTTCCACAGGGAGTAGAGTGAAGTGGCCCCCAATTATGCCATCTGTCCTACTTCCTTATTTCTTCCCTCCCCTCTGTCCTTCCTCCCTCCCTCCTTCCCTCTGACAGGTTCCAGCCCAAGTTCAAACTGCTAAATGATCATGGCCCTGATTTACTATGGCCGAATCCCCAAAACCACAGCTTATCTTCCCAGTGACCGCTTCCTCCTCCTTCCCCACGCCTCCTGGATGCAACTTCCGCTTACCTTCCCACACACACAAGGGAGCCCCCAATCAGCGCCTTAGGTGACCCTGAACCTGCCTCTCAAACTCTGCCCCCAGCAAAAGTCTATAAAATCTCAGCTTTCCTGTCTCAGGTCAGAGGATCCCCCATGTCCCCCAAATCTTCCCTATGTCCTCAGAATCAATAAAGGCCCCATCCCTTTATTTTACTTCTGCTTGTCTGCCATGCCAGAAAAACCTAACACCTTCCCTCTTTTTTCCCCCTCTTTCCCTTCCCCTCTCCCCCATCTCCTCTCTCTCCCAGTGAAGGAACCCAGGGCCTCCCTATGCCAGGCAAGTGCTCTACCGCTGACCTATGCTCCCAACCCCAGAGAGTATATTTCTGTCTATCAGATTATTGTCATGAAAATCTGAAGCCCCTGAGGTTTCTAAGAATGGTGAAAACTATGGTTCTAAATTTAGCTGAGGTAAGGCTGGAAAGGCTGAAGATTAGAAGTAAAGGAGCCAGGAACGGGGCAGTAGCAGTGGGGAGCTGCGTGGGTGCGGTGGGCAGGACAGCTTAAAGGTGCCATCCAGCTTGGGCATGCAGGGAGCTGGCCTAAGGGTGGAGTCTTAGCTAGTCTTGTCATTGCCGGAGCAAAATATCTTCTATACACAACGTAAGGGAGGGGAGGTTTATTAGGGTCCACATTTCAGTCCGCGGTCAGCCAGCTCGGAGGCAGGCGGGCACAGCAGTGGCGCCTGCTAGAGGAAAAGCCGCTGAAAGGGCCAAAGGAGCTGGGAAGGAGCTAAGCCCTTGGGGCCACGCCCCCGTGGCCTCTTCCTACCAGACCCCGCTTCCGACGGTGAGCCAGCTCTAAGCCCCACTGTCCCACCACTTGGCAAAAGCCCTGCCTCTGAGTCCTTTTTTTTTGGGGGGGGGGGGGGAATCTAGGTATAAACCTTAACAGGTGAGTAGGATGGTGCTGGGTTTCTGTAAATCGTATTGGGGTGATTTCTGTCTGGAATCCAGAAGGAGCGCCCTCAGCGCTGCTCTTGGAGCCATGTGCACGGTCTGTCTGCTGGAGACCGTCTCTCGGGAGAAGCCACGCGGCTGGGGCGGGGAGCACACAGCGGTGAGGCGGGAACTGCCTGTGTGACCTCAGCTCCCTCATTCCCCACCCACCCACGTGGCCCAGGGACTGGATCAGGCATGGGGCCGGGGGACACTTTCCTTAAGTAGCTCAGTCCTGGACTGACCTCTAAAGCCGGAGGCCTTCACATCCATCTGAACTTGCACGTGCCACCACCCCCAGTCTCAGTTAATGCCTCTGCGTGCCCCGGGGGTGGGGGTGGGAGGCAGCTGGAACGGCCAGCTGGGATCGAACCGGCGCTGCGCTCTGCCTAAGCAGGCACTTTAGTCAGCTGAGCTACCAGGCCGGCCCTCTGCTCCAGATCTTAAGTCACTTTTTCTCTATGGGTTTGTTTCCCTTCAGTTAAATATTAGGGTTGATCCTGAACCAGAATGTGGCTTTCAAATTCTGTTCTGGAGAATACTGCAGCTCCAGTGGACCAACATACTCTGCTTCCTGTCTTGAGTAATAGCAGGCTTTGATTAGCTCCAATTTTAGTTTTTCCCCCCAGCAATCTCTGAAAGAGTAGCTACCGCCACCATTTGTTTCCAACAGACTTCCAGCTGACACAGATGGTAGACAAAGATGCAAATGAACAGGGAAATCTAAGACAGGAGATCAAGTTGGGGTTGCCAGGCTTTTTGTTTCTGGAGCCTAATGGTTAGCATTTTCTTGTTTGTTTGTTTCCTATTTTTTTTATTTTATTTTATTTTATTTTATTTTTTTGAGACAGTGTCTCATTGTATTTCCCAGTTTCTGACCTCAAACTCATGGTGATGCTCCTTCCTCAGCCTCTTGCATGCTGGGATCACAAGCATGTGCCACAACCCCTGGCAGTTAGCATTTTCTCTTACACAATGGCTCTGGTTTGCCAGTGGTGTTTTGGGGCTTCCAAAAGGACGCGGGAAGCCCCCCTATCTGTAGCCTGAAAAGCCTAGAACACGGGCCTCACAGACCCCGAGGACCCTTCAGGGCTTATCGTTCATCTTCTGTCCTCTAAGCCCGTCCTTGAAGTATGCGTGCAGAACCTTGGGTTTTAACCTTCATTTGGTCTCCATAGAACCCAGCAGCCTCATGAGTGCTGTCATTCTGCTACTCAAATAGGGTCAATGACTCATCCCATGTCACACAGCCATAGGTGGCACTACTGGGACTCAAACCTAGGAGCTGGGCTCCAGAGTGCTTACTCGTTTTCCTTTTTTCCATATTAATTAAGTTTAAGGGGTTGGGGACATAGCTGAGCAGCACAGTGCCTGCCTAGTAAGCAAGAGGCCCTGAGTTCGATTCCCAATACTGCCAACCCCCCAATAATTAATTAAGTTCATTGGTACCTTTCAGGTACACATAGTGATCGCATTCATGATAGGGAATTTATACCTGAACATGCTACATCTTGATTCTTTTTTCCTCCATTCCCCTGCCTCCCCGCTTCCTTACCCACCCAATGTGCCTATCATTTAGAGCCCTTAACGCTGTCACAAATATTTTCAGTTCTTCCTTGGGCACCTGATAAGATTTATTTTCCCTAGCCAACGCAGTTTAGCCAATGAAATAGGAGCAGCGTTAAGCATCATTTCCGGTGGGACTTTTAAGAATCCATTATCACAATCACATTTCTTTTCTTTCTTTACTAGTTATAGAGGAACAATGAAGAAAGACTCTCCCTCAGCTTGCGTCACTGATGTGATGTGGGCCAGATCCCCCCCCTTGTGCCCCCAGCCGACCTGCATAGGGCATGTGGTATGGGCAAGGAATAAGCTCGCCATTTTCTGAAATGTGGGGCCTACTTGTTATGATTACATAGCCTTGCCCATGCTGACTAATCCAATACTGTACGCCATCCTCTGTTGGTTTTCTCTTAACTCACCATGTAGCCCAGTCTGGCCTTGAACTCACAGCAATCTTTCTGCCTCAGCTTCCCAAGTACTGGTATTATAGGCATGTGCCACCATGGCCAGCTCCATGATGAGAAAACGGATTTTCTTCATTCTTGGTCCCTAAGCCTGCTGTATTACTCAACATTCTATGGCCAAAACAAAATACCTAAGGCAAGCTATGAAGAAAATATATATATTTTAAAATGGATTTAGTGCAGGGTCTACAGGGTCTCACCATGTAGATTGGACTCATAGTGATCCTCCTGTTTTCAGCCTCCCAAGTGCTGGGATTACAGGCCTGCACCACCACACTCAGTCTCTGCACCCGGGGGTCAGGGCTGGCATGTCGGGGATCAAACCCTGGCTGCTGTGTCTGCCTAGGCAGGTGCTTTAGTCCGCTGAGCTATCTGGCCAGCCCTAAGAGATTTATTAAAGTCTACAGTTTTTCAGGTTCAAAGACCCAGCCGTTCAGCCTCTGGTGAGGACCAAACAGCACATGGTGCTGGTGAACCCATGGCATGTGTGCTGCAGCCAGCTGCTGTTACCACTGAGAGCTCTGAACAGTTTGCCATCACCGGCATATGGTGTCCCCTCATGACAGAAGCACATACGTTTCAAAGCATCCCATTGCTGAACCCTCCTAAGGGCATACCCCTCCTCCAAGTCTCCGCCTTTTAAAAGCCCATCCCACCTACCTGTACTGGCCCTGCGGACCAAGCTCCAACTATGAACCTTGGTGGAGGAGGGGGACATTTAAGCCACCTCCAAACCACCTCCACACTCCAGCGCCTGCCTTCTCTCAGCTCCCTAAAAACACAGACTCCACATTCAAGTCTAAAAAGCAGCAAAAGAAGAAGAAAGTCTCCCAAGCATGGAAGTAGGGGGTGTGAGGGGGAGATGTGCCCGCACTGTGCGAGCTAGGGGAGAGGTCACATGGAATGACACCTCCACCCAGCCCTGGAAGGCCACAGACAGGCGCTTAGGGTTCTCTCATACTCATTTATTGGTTCTTCTTAATTTTATTCCCCGTTTTTAAAGTAGGAATGACTGGGGTGGCAGGAGGAGGGCCGGACTCTCAAGTCCTGGGGATACTGCAGGCTGACAATGACCTTACAGGCCTGGATCTGAACGTCCTCCTCAGGGTGGATGACCAGGGCCAGCAGCCGGTCTGCCAGTCGTGACTCATCCCCAAAGAGGGCTTCGTGCAGGGACTGCTCATTGTAATGCCACTTCACGGCTCGGTAGTGGGGTGAATTCCGGCCCTCACTCAGCCGCTCAGCAAACACCAGCACCTCCAACAGCAGACTTCCTGACTGCGTGGCTTGGAACAGGTTCAGGAAGGTGGGGTGCACCTGTGGTGGGGACGGAGAGGGAATGGGAACGAAGGCCTGAGCAAGTTCTAATCTATGGGAAGCTATGATTTCTTTTTTTCTTTTTTTAAATTTATTTATCTCTGTGTGTGTGTGTGTGTGTGTGTGTGTGTGTGGCCAGCTCAGCTCACCAGGGGGCGGGGCTGGCTGGCATGTGGTGCTGGGGATTGAACCGCGGTCCCTGTGCTTTGCTAAGCTTGTTCTAAGTAGGTGCTTTAGACCACTGAGCCATCTCACCAGCCCCATGGGAAGCTATGATTTCAAGTCTCCCATGTAACTGGGTTTCAAATTAACCACACAGGAAATATCTAGTTTACTTGCCTTCTGCATTTACTTGTTGAATTACATTACGGTCATAAAACGTGAGTGATACACGACAATCATATGGATTCTGGGAAATCTGTTGAGACAAATTCTTAAGGCTTTGTGTGTGATTAATTTTCCTAAATTTTTGTATGCACTTGAAAGGAATACGCATTTCCTGCTGAATGACGGAGTGTTCTAGGTATGTCTAATACCTCAGGCTTACTTCTGTTACTTACAGCAAGTATACTGGAGTAGTTTCTGTAGTTTATCTGTCAGTGGATGAAAGAGTTGCTAACATCTTCCACTGTGGTGATAGATTGGTTCATTTCTCCTTTCAGTTCCATCATATTTTACCATATACAGTTTGAGATTATGTTATTAGACATGTACAAGCTTAGAGCTGCCTGAGCTTTCTGGTGGCAGGATCCATTTACTTCTTGGTAACTTTCTGCCCCAGTTACATTTTCTGCTGTAGGTCATTTTTCTCTAATATAAAAATGCTTATGTTAACTTTTATTTGCTGCGTTCCCAACTCTCAAGAGTTCAAAAAGCTCCTCAAAGGAGAACCTTTTTCCTAATAAAATGGATTCGCATCTCTTGGGGAAAGAGGGAGGGGGATGGTTGCCAGGGCTTCTGGCGCAGAGGCGGGAAGAAGGGTAAGACAGTCAGGGCCAGCGCTGGTCCACCACCCGGCCCCCCCCCCCCCAGCTGCCCTCACCTGGCAGTTGAGGATGTCATAGAGAAGGTCGTTCTTCTGTGCCAGATAGCTCATCAGGCGGATGGCTTGGATCTGAATGAAGCAAAGCACAAGGAATGCGAAGGCAGGTGAGTCTGGACCCCCGCGGAGAAGACAGAAAGCCCAGCCCCCGCCCCAGGGGCGCACCTGCGGCAGGATACTGTCGGACTGCACGATCGCCATGAGGGCGGGCATCACCCTCCGCAGCTGCGGGTGCACGTAATCGGGCAGCGGAAGGTTGTTGAGGAGCCGGAGGCCCGCCATGTGCAGCTCTGTGTCCCAGATGGTGGAGATCAGCTCCAGCACCTTGATGGTGTGCTCCTGGGGGGCACGATGGGGTCTGCGGTGGCGCCATGACCCCGCCACCAGCCCACCCTCCTCTTCACCCTTCGCTACCCAGCCTGGGAACCCCTGCCTCAGGCCCACCTGACAATTCTCCCCGTGGCTGCCAGGACAGAGGCCCTTAGCTCCCCTGGAGCCAAGGGGAGCCCCATCCGGCCGAGGGGCCACATAGGTGCCTACCCGCTCCACCTCCTCTGAGGCTTGGCTTGCAGGTCACCTCCAAGAGGTTTTCCTCTACCACCCACTCACTTCCCCCCACCTCCCTCCTTCCTTTCCTCCCTCCAACTGTCACTCGCAGCACATTATTATTATTATTTTATGTATTTGGTACAGGGTCTCACTATGCAGACTGTACTTGTAGTGATCCTCCTGTTTCAGGCTTCCCAGCATTGGGATTGCAAGCATGTGCCACCACGCCTGGTTCTGGTGGCTGGCTCAGTGCACCTGGGGGGTGTATGGCCAGTGCGACATGTGGTACCAGGGACTGAACCCTGGTCCTTTCACTACCTCACCAGCCCTTGCAACAAACTATTTAACTATACATGATCAATTATATGGTCACTAACTTTTTATTTTGAAACCTTAGAAGGTACAAATAGATCCCCTGTGCTTGTCACCCTATTTCCCTTATTTATTTGTAATACTGGGGATTGAACTCAGGACCTTGTGGTTGCTAGGTAGGTGCTTAAGCCACTGAGCTATCCTCCCAGCCTACCCCATTGTTTCCTGTGATGGTGACCTCTTACCTAACAAGCATCAAGTTTAGAAATGGGACAGGAAGGCCACAGAGGAAGGGGAAATAAAACTAAGATGCCATATCTATGTGTGTCAGTCCCCCAAGATGAATATTATTATTAGGTATTGCAAATATACACTAATTTTTTAATACAAAGAATCTGGTATTGGTAATGGGTGCGTCTAGCTCTTTTTAAAACTGTTTCCCAGCCCTGGGGTTTGACCTCAGGGCCTTTCCACTGAGCTGCATCCCAGCCCTCTTTGCATTTTTCATTATGAGACAGTGTCTTGCCACCTTGCTCAATCTTGTGTTCCTCCTGCCTCAGCCTCCCAGAGTGCTGGGATTACAGGCCTGAGCCACCACACCCAGCATCCTCCTATCAATTTGTCACATGTACAGACTCCTGTAATCACCCACGGTCAACAGACCTTCCCACTGTAACTGCCTCATCACAAGGAACTCTCTGCCACCTCCTGCCCTGGCTCAAACCCTTGGCAGGTGCCAATCTGTTTTCCATCTTTAATTTTTTCAAGAATGTTGCATATACGCAATCAGATCTCCTGCAACCTCTTGAGATTGGCTTTATTTTTCACTCAGTGCAATGCCCTTGAGATCCATCAAGTGTCAGTATTCCACTCTGTTATCACTGAGCAGTTGTCCACGGCATGGGTCACCTGTTTACTTAACTATTCAGCTCCTGAGAGAGCATTCTGGTGGGTCCTAGGCCTGGGCTACCTCTAAGGAGGCTGCCATGGACAGCTGTGCACACATTTTTGTACACATGTTAATTTTCATTTCTCTGGGAGAAAAGCCCAAAAGTGCAACTAAATGTAATTTAGTGTTTTAGGAAGCGGGGCTGGGGATGTAGCCCGACCCATAGAGTGCGTACAGAGCAAGGGCACTGCCCTGGGTCCTGGTCCCTGCGTGCAAAAAAGAAAATTAACTGCCCAGCTATTTCCCAGAGCACATGCCATTCCAGTTTTGCATTCCCGTTAGCAACAGGCCGCCAGGAGCCCCGGCTTTGCTGTGTCTCATCCAGCATGTGGTGCCATCAATTTTAATTTTATATCTTCTAATAGGCTTAGGTTAGTATCTCTTAATGGACCTCATTTGCATTTCCCTAAAGGCTAATGATATTAAGCATTTATTCCTGGGTAATCTGCAAACCCTTTCCCAGGGACCCTCTTTATGTATCTTTTGCCCACGGATTCCTTGTTTCTATTTATTTATCTTTTCCATTTGAGACAGGTTCTCTCTATGCAGTTCAGGCTTAATTTGAGCTCACTTTATAACTCAGACTGGTCTTGAACTTGCGAGATGTGCCTGCCTCAGCCTCCCAAATGCTGGGACTACAGGTGTGCACCACCACACACAGCCTTTGCTTTTTCTTTTTTTGAATCCAACTCAGGACTTTGTGCTTGTCAAGCAGGCACTTGTGCCACCGAGCCATATCCCCAGCTCAGATTGCTTGCTTTTCATTTTGAGTTTTGAGAATTCTTTATATCATCTAAACAAGTCCTTTTGGCAGGTATGTGGTTCCCAAATACTTTATTCCAGTCTGCAACTTGTCATCCCATCCTTTTAAAAGCCTTTTCATGGAGTGGACTTTTTAAATATTTAATGAAATCTAATGAGCTGATTTTTTTTTTCAGATTGTACTTGTGGTGTGATGAACCCCTGAGGTTCTGGAAGGTTCGAGACAACGATGCAATCCTGGCTACCTTTCCTTACCTTCCCTCTTTATTCTTCTCCATAGCGCTGAATGGATTGCATGAAATACATAAGTTCTACCATTATCTTTCCTATTCTGTTCTCTGCCTTATCCTCAGGGCCTACCATACTGCCCAAGAGCTCAATATGCATTTGTTCAGTCAGGTGTGGTGGCGCTCACCTGTAACCTCGGTATTTGGGAGGCTGAGGCAGGAGGATTACTGTGAGTTCAAAGCCAGCCTGAGCCGTGAGACCCTATCTCAAAAAACAAAAAACAAATCATATATATATTCATATACATATACCTCTGTTCAATAAACAGAAGCATCTCAAATTATTCTTATTTTCCTTACTTCTATCCTGTCTCATAGTTTAAGGTCTTCACACTGAGCTACACTGGTCCTTTTTATGTTTGATTTTGAGACAGGATCCAAGTCACTAAACTGTCCAGGCTTAACTTGAATTTGGGATCCCCCAGTCTCCAGACTGCTGGGATTACAGGTGTGGACCACCACGCATGGCTGGATCTTGCATTCTAAGGAACAAAATGCTTGGACTGAGACTTATTACCAAAGACGGGTAGGCAGCCAGTGGAGGCTGGTCCATGAAAGAGCTAAGAGCGAGGCAGCATCCTGGCATGGAAGTGTGAACTCCCTGGCCCCTGCCTGCCAGCTGCTGAGCCTCGTGGGGCAGGGAGGAGGTGGAGTCTCTGGGACCAGGATTTGGAGGCACAAACCTGCAGGTACAAAGGCTAGCAGGGAGGAGAACTGAAACCTGCAGCGAATGGCCCGGAGGAGGCCCGGAGCCGTAGCCTATTGTGAATCCTGACACTGCAGCAGGTCAGAGGAAGCCGAGGAGAGGGTGATGGGATGAAGTCCGGCAGAGGGCTTAGGGTGGAGGCGGGGGCACGCTGGGTTGGGCCACAGCCCACAGCTGCTGGTCACAGGGAACAAGCCAGGTAGCCCCAGGCCGCAGAGCCCCAGGAGGACACAGCCAGATGGAAAACAAGGCCAGGAAGCTTGGCCTGAAGCGAGAAGAGTCCGGTGCCCAGGACAGATGATAGGGAGCCCTGTGAACATGGAGGCGCGGTCCTGCACACCTGCCTGTGGGAAGCACTGCCTTCCACTGAGCCAAAGCCCTCGCCATGGCCCCCGAAACGTTGCTGCCGGCCATCCCCAGATAGTTCTAATGCACTGGGGAAGCTCAGCTTCAGGAAACAGAGGGGCAGGTTGGAGTCAGCCAGCAAGTGCAGACCTCGAGGCTTGTTTAGTGTGCCATCACATCATCGAATGTCGTGAAGCCACAGTACAGCAGGGGCACTCACTCCCGTGGGCCTGAGGGGCTGGGCATCAAGCAACCCTTCAGGAAACGCTGGGCACACTCTTGGGCCAGCCTTTCTACCCTGTCTTGTACACACCTAGAGAAAAGCCCCCGCCATACAGCTACAACACACACCTGGGAACAATGCCAGTGCCCACTCATGGGCCAATGGCAGTACATGCCTAGAACAAAAAACTACACAGCAGTGAAAAAGGAACCAGAGGGCTTGGGAGTGGCTCGGTGATGGAGCCCAGTACACACAGAAAGGAACAAGATTGCCCCAAGATGAATCTTTCGTATGTTTGGAGGTAGGGAGGCCATAGAAGAGTCTAAACCACATACTTCCATGTACACGAAGCTTAAAAACATCCCAAACCAGGCTGGAGGACTGAGACAGGACTCCAAGTTTGAGCCTCAGCCTCAGAGATCCTGCTAGGGCCCTAGCTGATTCTTCCTGAGATTCCATAGCTTTTATGACCAGGTAGGACTCTGACCACTGGCTTCTCACTTATTTCTGGGTTACAAACCCATGCCCAGGAAAGGGCCTATCGACCTCAGACTTCCTGTGTGCTCCATCCCTAGACGCACCTGGATTTTAAGCCTGAATTTCCGGATGCCAGAGAAGGCTTTCAGTGCATTCAGAGCTTGGATTTTGACACTGTTGTTGTTGTCATCCAGCATGTCACCCAACAATCTGATGTCGTCAGTTGTACAAGCAGAGGCCTGGAGCGTGTGTGGAGAGGGGAGAAGAGGGAAGAGCCAGGTCCTGGACCGCCTGCTCCTGAGCCTAGTTACCGAGTCCCCCCAGAAGACCTCTCCCACCAGCGGTCAGAGATAGGTGATCGGGGACAGCTAAGCGCAGGGGCCTCACCTCAGCCTCCAGCAGGTACACACAGCGGGTGATGCTGTGCAGGATCATGCTCTTGGTGTATTCATCCTGCTTGCACTCCAAGGAGTTGAGGAGTCTCCGCAGCTCCCCCGAGTCCCGCCCGTGGCGCTCCCGCTCGATTGCCAGGCCTAGACAGCCAGCCCAGCCCATTTCAGGCTGTGGACTTAGAAGGAATGAACGGAAGGGGTCGGGAAGGGTGAGGGGGGCCTGCGAACAAGGTGACCCTTGCCTTTTCTGAAAAGCAGCCCTTCTGCCATATGCATGACCATCAAGGGCAGCTGAAGAGGGAGTATGCTACACAAGGCGCTCCCGTTACTGCTGCGTGGCCTGCCTTGTGTCATCCATTTGTCTATTTACTATCACACTTTTCTGGCATATGGCAGTAACAAGCTGTTTGTGCAACTGGTATATGACAAGGATATTCCAGCAGATGGCAATAAAGGGTCTCACATATAGCACCCCTTTTCTGATTCAACAGAAAAGAATGCCCTGTGGACCTGGAAGCCCTGGGGCATATATGTCCCCAGTTTCTCCTTTCCTTAAGGTGTCAGGTTCCTGGGCAGGACTGGAATGGGGAGTGGGGGCTGCTGGTGCCGAGTTTCCAAGCCATGGAGGGAGATCTACTCTCTAGGATCTTTGTCCAGGTTTGGGGTCCCACAGGAGGGAGGAAAGAGGTGTGGGGAGGAGAGAGAAACTTGGAGGAGTCACCTTCAGGCTCTCCCTCAGGGGCGGCCTTGGGAGCAGCTGCCTCCTGGGGCACAGCCCTCTCCCCAGGGCCCGGACACTCACGGGCGATGCAGATGGGCGAGGTGGTACAGAGGGGCGGTTTGCATTGGATGCCGGCCCTGATGGCCTTGTAGAGCAGGTAGATGGCTCCAGCACCTGTGGCCAGGCCCACTACGCTTTTGCGGATGTCAAGTTGCCCCAGGCACTGGGGTATGCTCTTGCCCATGTCTTCAGTGCTAGGCTTAGGGCTCTGGGGAGCTAGGCCAGGGCTGTGGGAGGGGCCTTCCAGAACCAGAACTCTGGCAGTACCAGGAGCCATAGTACCAGAATTGGAACCTGGGCAACAAAGGAAAATGGGTAAGACAATAGGACAGACAGCAGCAGCCAGGGAAGAGTGCTTGAGGGGAGACTTCAGCTTTGGGGGCTGTGGAGGGAAGATGGGGACTCTAGGGGTATAAAAGCACCCACAAGGTGTGAGGCTATGGCTTCAACCCTGCGCCACCAAAAGCAGGACAGGAGAGCCCGTCACACCCCTTACCTTGGGGGCCCACTCCAGGGGGCCCAGCTAGCAGCTCCGGAACCTGTGCCTCCCTCCGCTAGAGGGCAGCAGAGGCCCACTTTCCCAGGCACAGAGGCCCACTTCTTCCTTCCCAGGAGGGAGTCTGGGGTACGCCCGTGGGCCCCGAGTGGCCCCGGAAGGCAGGAACTGCCCTTCCCCGGGCCTGTTTCTGTATTTGAAGAGATTCAGATATTCCTTCCTAAGGCGGCAGGATGAAGATGTGGGCGTCCTGCACCCCCTTCAGACGCGGGGGCCCCATCAGGGAGTGTAAGCTCCCCACCTCCTCATTGGCAGGATGAGGTTTGAGATTTCTGGAATCAGAAAACGCTGCTGACACAAGGCCCCAAGCTTGGGCCTCCAGAGCTAGGACCAGGCGGGTGAGGCCACACCCTCCCTTCACTGCCTCCTCCCATGTTGCTAACAGGGAGGTGACAGCTGCCCACATTGACTGTCACTTTAGAATGAAAGGCGGCTTTGGCAGATCTGCAAATGGATCTCTCAGAACAAGGTCACTTCGGTGTCCCCAGAGAGAAATGGAGTGCTGGTGTCCTGGCACCCTAAGCAAACATCCTCACTGATTCTTTAAAGATGTCCAGAGCTCTTGGATGACTGTAACCTAATTCCCTTCTTCTATACTATTTTAAAAACTGGAGACTGAACTCAGGGACTTCATATTGAGCCACACCCCACCTTTCTTTTTTTAATTTATTTAATTAATTTATTTATTTAGTGTGTGTGTGTGTGTGTGGCCAGCTCAGCCCACCAGGGGGCAGGTCTGGCTGGCATGTGGTGCTGGGGATCGAACCGCGGTCCCTGTGCTTTGCCACGCTTGTTTCAAGTAGGTGCTTTAGACCACTGAGCCATCTCTCCAGCCCCTATTTTTGGTTTTTTGAGACAAGCTCTCAGCCACTGAGTCTCCCAGCCTGGGCTCAAACTTTTGACCTTCCTGGCTCTCAGTGCTGGGATTACTGTTAGGCACCACCACACCCACTCTAAAGCCCATTCTCTTTCAGCCCTCAAATGAGTCAGAGGGACTGGGGGCCGTCATCCCCACAAGCACACTTTCACCTGTGCACAGCACAGTAAAAAAATTAAACACAGGGGCTGGAGAGATAGCTGAGCAGCCTATAAGTGCCTGCCTGGCAAGCGCAAGGATCCGAGTTTGATCCCCGCACTGGGCCGCTGAAATCAGGCATGGTGGCACACGTCTATAATCCCAGGGATGGGGAGGCTGAGAGAAGGATCACTATGAGTCCAAGCTGCAAAGTGAGACCCTGTACCAAATAAAGAAAAGATTTTTTAAAATTAAAAAGAGAATGTCTATTTCTCAATGTAAAGTCAATAACGGCTCCTTTCTTGGGAATGGCTGCCAGTAGTTTTTGCTTTGAGGCAAAGTCTTGAGTATTTTTCCCAGGCTGGTTTCAAGATTCTCCTGCCTCAGCCTCCCTGTGGCTGGGACTACAGGTACTTGCCATCAGAATGTGTTTTCCATTCAAGATGATGATAATCTTGTTTTTGAGGGGATTAAAATTTATTTTACCAAAATGGTGATAAAAGATAGTAGGTGTGTCTTGACGGTCCTTAGGAAATAGATGGAAAGCAACTTTTTGGGAACTTCACTTTTATTTTTTTCTGTCCAATCCAGAAATCTGCAGAGGGCAGTCCGGGAGACAACATACACAGAGTCGTCTTGAGCTCCTTACCTGGCCTCCACCTCTGTGCCACCCATGCCAGCATTTTACCTTCAGCTCGGGTGATCTCCCCAAGTTCAGCGCGGATTATCAGGGCCGGCTCCAGCCAGAGAGCCCTGCTCCATTAAAATACATTTCCGTCGCTGACCTCGCTCTGCAAACTGTGCATCTCATTTTCCCCACGTGTAAAATGAGACTGGTAAGACCCACTTCCGGGGCTGTAAAGCCCTTGGAACTGTACTCAGCCCACAGGCCTCGTAAATGTCGCTTTTATGAGAACTAGGAAAATACTCTGGAGCAAAATGCTGGGCACCCCACTTGGGGGGTGTTGTCACCTTCATGTCCTGGACTGAGAAAAAAACCATTCACCCCTTCTGTCTCCACTATCCCGCCCCCACTGCTGCGCCCTGGTCCTCCAGGCTGCTGAATCCCAGCTCCTGGAACCCAAATCAGTGCCTTCAGTGACTCCGGCGTCCTCTTTGAAGCCCCCCCAAATTCCTCAACCAGGAGGCCAGCCGCTCCCCTGAGCTGCTTCGTTCCTAGGACCACGCAGCCACCTATAACCCCTAAGGCTTCCTCCTCATGCCCTGCGCCCTTACCCTGGCGAGGGGTTCTCAGCCTCTTTCGCTGCAGAACTCCAGATGCTGGGGCTTGGGAGAGAGGTGCTATGGGAAACACCCTGGTAGCCCCCGCGGCGGGAGACCCCGGGCAGCCCAGCATTAGCGCGCTCTAAAGCCAAGGGGTCATTTCCCCTTGGGTTCAAATCCCAGCAGGGTGAGGTTTGGACGCGTTCCATCGTCGCAGTCTCGGTTCCCTTCTCCCAAGCACGAATCGGGAAGGCGCAGCTGTCGGGGCTGAGCAAGGAACGTGCTGTCCCTCTAGGGCACAGCACGGGGACACTCAACGCCACAGCAAGCCGGCAGAGCTTGCGATGATGGGCGGCGGCGCCGTGTCCTGCCGCGGACTCCACCGCTGCGACACCATCGCCTCCCCAGTCACCGCTTAGCTCAGCCGGGAAGCGGGGTCCCGGACCCCCAAGCCTCTGGGCGGTTCTCACTCGGGAGAGCGAAGGCGAAGAGACTGGAGCGACACGGCTGAAGCCCGGGTGGGCGGGAGGCGCCCCCAGACGCCACGCCGGGGCGGAGCCTCTCCTCTCCGCCCCCCGCATCCGGCGTAGGCACAGGATGTTCTTTCGCTGGTCCCCCGCCCCGCCCCGCCCCCGCTCTCACTTTCTGTCCGCTCCCCTCCTCCACGCCGCGCCCGCACCTAGCTTAACTCCTTGCTTACCGTGCTCTTCCGCGGGCACCGCACCTCCGACAGCTGCTCGATCTCGCGCGTTCCCAGAGCGGGGAGCCCTCGGGGGTGAAGGGTGGTGAGCGCTCCGCTGGCTCCCTGCCCCCCAGATCGCAAGGGTAGATGGAGTGCGCGTACCCCGGGGAGTAGCGAGGGAACTGCCAGCACAGGTCCCTGAACCTGCGCCTCTGCTGGGACGGGAAGGGTCCTGACACTTCCTACCTCATCCTCCCTCCCCCCCAGGCTGGGCCGAGGAGCCTCAAGGATGGAGGGGGGCTACGCCCCTCTTACACGTCACTGTTTCCAAGGCAACCTGGGGGTGCCCAAGGCTCACTGGCCACGTGGGATTGAGGTGTGGCAAGGGCGGGATTTTCGATCCTCTTCTTCGGTCTTACACTGTCAAGAAACGCAGTGAGGGTCAGCTTCTGTCGTTCGTTCATTCAACATTATGCTTGGCACCACGCTTAGACACCGGGATATGGCGCTGAGACCTGGCCTCCTTTGGTTTTGTGAACCCGAGTAGGGTGGCCCCACGTTCTAGGCTACGTCCTTGAAATCAGTGCAGTTGTTAACAATGACCCGTTACGTGCATAAAGCATCCCCGAACGGCCAGCAGTTGAAGAAAGATTCGAGCCTCCAGTTCAGGGAAGGCCTGCCCCTGGGAGGGCAATGGTTTGTTCCTCGTGCCACAAGCACTTCCTCGGCACTTTATAATCTCTGTGATCTTTGTTGCCGATTCTGCGAGGCAAATATCCCTACCACCTTTTACACATGAAGGAAAAAACTGGCTTCCAGAGAAGTTAGGAGACTAAGCCAAGGCCAGCAGCCGAGTGTTACAACCAAGATCCAGGCCAGCTTTCTATGGGTCTGAGTGCCCTACCTAGTGCCTCCTCCAAATGAAACACGACATAAAATTGTCCCTGCCATGAAGGAGCTTATGACCTATGGAAGAAAGCGTTCAAAATGGTACAGGACATAATTAAACAGAAAAGATTGGAGGCCGCTCATAAAGCTCAGAAGAAGTTGACAAACCGATTAAACTGAAGTGGAGATTATCAGAGCGTTCCTGTGCATGTGTGGCGGGGGGCTTTGTACTGGTCGTAGAACCAGGGTTATTGGTCTCCTCTGAAAATTTTGAGAAAATTAATAGGGCCCAAGTGAACATCAGAAAAGCATCGGGTGTGGTGGGAATAGGGAAACCAAGTCAAAAGACACAATCGGAAGGCTGAGAAGAGAATGTGACCAAAGGAAGCAGGCACCTGAGGATAGTGGTCTGTGAATAAACCCAGGTCCCTTTATAGGGAACACACAGGTTAGCAGCCAGCGTGCCTGAGTCTGATCACACACACACACACACACACACACACACACACACACACAGGATGGTTGAGAAAGATTCCAGCAGGGTGTGTAGGAGGAAGGAACTACCTGGGTGAGAAAATATGGCAATTTGGGCTAAAGGTGGAATGTCGGGGGCTGGAGGAGAAGCAGCAATGCATTTTAAAATAAAAGCAACCAAAGGGAGAGTGTGCAGAATTTGGGAGCAGAGAGGACACAGAAGTGAGGACGAAGTTAAATTTTAATGAAGTGATTTGGGGGGACAAAGAGGGTCATAGTGGTCAGTAGGGAGTGGTTGGTGTGAGGGCAGGAGATTGAGCTCAGTGACATTTGGGCTATGGGATGGAAGGTGTCCCACAGGTGAGAACTGGGAGGGCCATAGGCCGCCTTCAGAGAGTGTCTGGTCACAGCCTCTGAGCAGTCACTGACCCAGGATACCATCAACAGATGTCATTTGTCAGGCTAAAGGTGGGTGTAGAAGACAGCAAAGGGACCTTCCTCCTGAGGATTTGGTGAAGGCGGGCCAGTGACAGCATGTGTAGGAAGGAGGAGAAGGTGGTATGTGGCTCAGATCCAAGTAGGTGTCCATTTCTGCATCTCTGGTGACACAGTGTGCCAGTGGTGCCATCAGATGGGCCTGGGGACATGAAGCCCAGGTAAGGCGCTTCAAAGCCGAGGTCTTTCCCCCAGCCCCACCCTCCAAGGCCCTGAAGCCCAGGCCTGTGTACCTGCCAAGGCCTTCCTGGAACCTGGCAGGGGACAGCGCCCCTCCCTGCCTGGCTGGCACACTCTCCAGGCACAGGACGTCCCTCTGGGCATCTCACAGACATCGCAGGAGGCCAGGGCATGAGACGCCCCCGCCCTCCCGGACAGTCCTGCTCTGGGCCATGGGAGGCGGCAGCAGCAGCACACGGAGGAGGAGGCAGCCGATCCAAGGCTGGGCAGCAGGCTTCACGGGGCCTGCTGTGGATTCAGGTGGGAGAGAGGGAAACGGCAGAAAGGCAGTCTCGGGGGCAGAGTCCCACACCACCTGCTTGCTCTGCCTCCCTTCCTCCCGCCCAGGGGGAACTCTTCAGGGGCCCAGTGGTTTTGAGGGGAGGGACAGGAAGAGACTGTGAACTCTAGGTCAGTTGAGGACAGAGATAAGGGCGAGCTCTGCCCTAAATCCTAGTTCTTCCAGGACCCTAGCACACTGCCACCTTAAAGCTCGGTCTGCGACTCACAGTGACATCTTCACGCTAAGACCTCCAGAGGGAGGCGTCCCAGAGCTCAGGAGGTGCCGGGCCCCATTTGCTGGATGCGGCCGGGACTGCGCCCCTCCCAGGTGGGCAGAGCTTGCTCTGGGTGGGGGACGGACGCGCCCTCTAGGAGGCAGAGGGCAGCGAGAGCGGCCACGTGGAGGTCCCGCCGCCCCCGCCCGCCGGCTCGCGGGAACTGCCGAGGGTCGGGCAGTCGCCGACCGCAGGCTGCAGAAGCGGTTGGGCTGCTGAGCGAGCACGCCCACTTACCCAGCTGCTGAGTCAGGCTGTTCTCGCTCGCGCCCGCCCGCCTGGGACATTGTGTTCCAGCCCCGGCGCGCTGGCAGCTGGCCCAGACGCTCACACCAGCCTCCTCGCCCCGTTGGTGCTCGCGACTCGATAGGCGCACAGAGCCCCGTGGTCCCAGCCGGCGGCGCTGCGGTCCAGAGCGGGCGGGCGCGCGCAGGGGCGGGGGCTGGACGCTCCACCTTCGGACGCCAGGGTCCCTGCCATTCGCACATCTCCAGCCGCAGAACACTCAGACCTCCCCACAGCCACCTGCGGCCTGGGTGGGGCGCCCAGACTTGTGTAGGCCCCAGTATAGTACCGTTGTGGGACAGGGAATGGGGGGGGGTGTCCACTAGAGCCCAGGCTGCCACCGGTGTGCCCCTCCCTCCCAGTTCTCAGTCCAGGAGTCTGAAGGAGGCTAGCGGGGTACACCTGGGGGCAGTCACATGATGAGGGAAGCCAGTGTCGAGACCCCTCCTTCCTCACCACCCTTCCATGATCCTCACAGAAGCTCTTGCACGGAGTCTCCAGTGATTCCCAGCGCTGGCAAACCCAGCCCAACCCTTTGGGACAGCTTGGGAAACCCCTGGCAGGATGCTGGAAGCAGGGAGAGTTCAGATATTGGCAAGTGAGCATGGGCGGCAGGGTGGGAAAAGACCACTCCAAACTGCCCCCAAAGCCCAACCCTTCCCTTTGAATACCCGCACACCCTGAAACTTGTTCGGAGCCAGAATTTCACCCTGTCCATCTGTCTGCTGTGCTGATCCTAAAGGTGCCACTCTCTCCAAAGTCTGGAGAGGAACAAATGATTTATATGCAAGGAAAGCTTGTGGTAGCCGGTCCTGCTAAGGGGTCGTGAAAAGTTTGACAGGATTCCTAAAAGCCTTGCTTTCCCTCCTTCCCAGCTCCACATCTGCCATGCCATGTCCCTGCCAGCAGCGCTGTGTCCGTGCCTCACCAGCCGTCCAGCTCCAGTTCACAAAGCGCCCTTGAAACAGGGCCAGCCCAATCGGATTCCCCTCTCATCCCCAGCCTAGCACAATCAGTCTGTACCTTTCCTGAGCACAATGTGTGCCCTGTCTCCTATTCTAGTGATCTGTTTACTAATCTTGTCCTAACCAGATTAGAAAGTCCTTGAGGCAGAAACAAAGTCTGCTTCTTCTTTGAGGCCTCCTCCCTGCCCCCCATTTCATCTCTCCCAGGCCAAGCCCGGCACCCAAGTTGATGTTCAATAAATATGGGGTGTATTGAAATGATTTCCTGCCCTCGGGCAGTTGTCGGGCCAGTTGCAGAGACAAACAGGGTGTGTGGGGTTAAATAATAACCGAGGCCAGCAGGTGGTAAGTACCAAATGTAGGTGACAACTCTAGGGACAGAAAGGGAAGGAGGAGGTGATGGGGGAAAGGATCCAGGAGGTGCTAGGCCTCTGCTGACTGTGTAGGAGGACGGGGAGGGGCAGGGTAGTAGTGACTCACTGGAGTTGACATCACCACAAATCAGCCTTCATGCTGGGTACGTTACATGCATCATCTCTGATACTTAAGATGGGAGAAGGTTGAGAGGGGGTAAGGGACAGGGCCCAAGCCTGGACCACCCAGGGCCACCCGGAGCCCAGGGGGCAGCCTTGAGTGTGGCTGCTCCACCCTCTGTCCCTGGGCACTGCCTGTTCCCTGGCCTGCCACTCCTGCCTACTACACCCAAGAGTGCCCCGCTCGGCCCAGTTTTGGACGCACTATGGTCCCACCCTCCTGAACAACCGGCTGTGTGACCTTGGGCAAGGTACTTCCTCTGCCTCGCCAGTACAGACTGTGACTCTGGGCTTTGGATATCGGTACTGGGATGCTTGTCTACTCTCCTGATGGCCCCTGGGCTGATGTGGCTGCCTGTATGCCCCTCTACCTCCTGTGCGCACTGTCTGTGCCCCCCAGCTTGGAGCAGCGGAGAGAAACACTGGGTAAAAAGTGTGAAAGGGGATGGCTTCCTGTGGTTGCAAAGGGAACAGCGGGACTTTCCCTGCAGTGCCTGAGCTGGGGGAGAAGTGGGCCAACCTCCAAGGAACCTCTGCTCTCTTCCCGCCCTCCTCGGGGCTCCCAGCCCTCTAAAAGGCTGGTACAGTTTGTTACGCTGGGGCCGGAATGTACCGTGTGTTTCACATGGCCTCTGTCCAGTCCTACACTGGCCGCTTTATATTTATACTTCCTTCTCCAGCCGTGGCATCCTGCTGTCAGTCACCCCTCCCTTTGCCCACCTCCTCCAGCCCCCAGCAGATCATGAAGTGAGGCTCTGTCCCCATGGTCCCTGTGGGGGAAGGGGGTGCAGAGACAGCCCCAGAGAGGAGCAGTTGGATTGCCTGGTTCTCTTGCTTGCTTCCATCATGAGAGTCTGCCACCTGGGTCTGAAGTTTCTCTGGACCTTGGGGGTTGCCCCTTCTCTCCCTGCCACCCTCTTTGCCTGGGGCTTGAGCAGTTGTCCTGAGCCCAGTGGGGCCGTGAAAGCTCTTTGGAAACTACCTCTAGGGTCATGGCAGACCAGGTTAGCATGACTCTCCTCCACAGTGTCCCAGGGGACAGGACAGAGGCTGGCAGGGGACAGGGAACCACCTACCCACTTACTCTAGAAGTCACACAGACCTAATAGAAGCTGTAAAAATGCGTTTGGATACTTGGTGATTTCTTGAGGATGTTCCGAGTGGTGATTCAAGTTCATGTTTTGATCTGGCCTGGCTCCTCAAAGAAGCAGGTAGCAGCGTAACTGAAGCCTAGAGACCCACAGAGTCCAGTGGTGCAGTTGGGTGACCAGGCCCAGTGGCTGTGGGCTCTGACTCTTGGCCAGCTGGTCTGCCTGCCTGCGCCCTTCACCTCTCACCCAGGGAGAAATCACCTCATGTTGCTTCAGCCCCAGGATCCAAACACCAGGAGCCAAGCCTGGATTCTGGGGCTGTGGAACCAGTTGTATGTGGCACCCAGTAACACAGCGGTGACATGGTCTCTCTCAGGACTTAGCCATGGTAGACTTTGGGGGAAAAATGAGCCCTAAATTAATTACCTGTCCCACCTTCTTCAGAGTTTAATGCTCCTTGGGGACCAGCACTCCGCGCCTGCTGGGAGGATCAAGTCGTAGGCCAAAGTGCTCCTGGGGCTAGAGACCTCACTGCCTGGACTCTCCTGGGCTGAGAGGGGAAGAATTTCCCAAGTTGACCTGAACCTAGTGTCTGCTGGCCTTTCACCCAGCCCTGTCACCTCTGGAGGGGATCACAACACCCGTGCTCACATTTATCCACCCCAGGCCACTGGATCAGGGCCACCAGACACCCCGTATTTGTCTGCCTGTCCTGGTCTCGGGCTTCCTGTCCTCTGTGGCTCTCCTGGGTACACTGTGTCCTCTCTGAGCTGCGGCTGCTTCCTGTGAGTTGTTTCTTCTTCCTCTTTTATCCTTTCTCTTTCTCCTTGTTCCTTCAGTGTTCTGTTTATATGCCACCACCCATCCATGTTTACTTTTATTTTTGTTTTTTACAAGTATTCCCAGTCCCCTGAGAAGTTCCCAGTGTCCCTCGGCCCCCTTTCGCCTCCGACACCACCTTGACGAAGACCCTTCCATCTCCAATGGCCCCCCCATGCCTCTGCCATATGGGACCACTCATTGAGCACCTACTGTATGCCTACATTAATGAATGCATTGGCACCTAAGTTCCAAAGCTCCGCCTCTGCACTGACTAGCACCCACTGTGTGTAACAAGCATCTCGCTTCCACCTTGGGGTGCAACACCTGGAAGCAGGTCAGGATGATGTTTTGGGAAGTTGAGGACTGGGTGTGGCCTGAGCAGAGGGTCCAGGGAGGGCTCCTTTGAGGTTCGTAGAGAGCCGAGCAGGCCCATCGAGGGTGCAGCATGTTCCAGGTAGAAGGAACAGTGTATACAAAGGCACAGAGGCGTGAAGCAGCCCGTGTTCCCCGGCGGGCACTGGGAGTTGTTTGGTCTGGCTGGACAGGGAGTCCAGGTTGGGGAGCTTGGGGAGAGGAGGCCAGAGGCAGGCAGGCCCAGATGGTGCAGGACTCGGTGTTCCAGCAAAGGGCTGACCTTTATCCTGCAGCAGCCGGAAGCCCAGGCAGCCTCATGGCTCCCTGCAGCCGGGAGCTCCAAGGCTGGGCGTGGGCCAGGCCCAAAGTGTTCTCCAAGTCTCCATTAACGCGCATTTACTGCCCTTTGGCTCAGAAAGGTCTGTGGGAGAGTTCGTCACTCAAATGCACGCTGTCTCCAAAGCTCATTCATTCATTCGTGCGTGGTTAGCAGCGCTGATATTTGCCAGGTGCTGTTCTGAGAGCTGAGTCCAGGCCAGCGAGCCCTGCGGAGGTCCCAGAGCTTGCTTGCTCACTGGTGGAGCAGAGGACAGGCCATAAACAACCAAAGAAATGAAACAAATTAGCGAGATAATTTCAGACCATGCTCAGTGCAAAGGAGGAAATAAAACAGTGATGTAATTGAGAGTAGCAGAAAAGGCTGCTCAGGGAAGATCAAGCCCAACCTGAGACCAAGAGGACACCAGCAGGTGCCCCCGTGGCCATCTGGAGGCTAAGATTTCTGCACAGGAGCCGCCTGTGCAAAGGCCCTCCTGGAGCACGAAACAGCTTGGAGGTTTGTAAGTTAAGAGAAAGGTAGGGCAAATCCATCACTCTCTGGCAACACTCTGCTAGGGTTATCAGACCCCATTTTGTAGAGATGGAAACTGAAGCTTGAAATGATTAAGTTTTGTGGCCAGAAACCAAAATTGGCAGTGTATGCTGGCTCTGAAGCCTCTGCTCAGGCCAGACATGGTGACACACTTGTAATCCCAGCACTTGGGAGAATGAGGCAGGAGGATCCCCATGAGTTCAAGGCCAGCTGGGGGTACATAGTGAATTCAAGGCCAGTCTCAACTATGTAGTGAGACCCTGTCTCAAAACACCAAAATAAATTCACTGCTCATTTTTCTACCGAAGCATCGAGAGGTACAACAACTACATGTCCTGAGTTATCTAAAACTCTGACCCATCATCTCCTAGACAGTCATGGGGGACCCTCTCTATGTTCCAACTTAGCACTCGAGACTGTGTTCACCTGTACTGTCACTGGGATCCTAGACTGCCTACCACTCTGCACCATTACAAGCCTCAATTGACCAGGTGTGGTGACACAAGCCTGTCATCCCAGCACTGGGAAGGCTGAGACAGGAGGATTACTGCAACTTCAAGGCCAACTTGGGCTATATAGTGAATTGAAGACCAGCCTGGACTACATCGCAAGACCTTGCCTCAGAAAACAAACCAGCAAAAAGCCCTAGTTTCCCAGTCTGTAGGCAGGGAGAGGGATAGAGGCCATAGGATGCCTGCTGGTGAAATGAGATTGTGTGCCTGGAAGCAGGCACCCAGCTCATGGCTTTTCTTGTCCCTTCGGAGGCCAACAACAGAATGGTCCTGCTCCAAATCAACAGGGAGGGAGAGAAGCCCAGAGAAGAGACAGCATGAGCCCTTGAGGTAGGACACCACCAGGCCCTGTGAGGACAGAGCCCAAGTCTCCGCCACGAGGGCCTCTGCCCTTCGTCCTGCCTCCCCTCCTGGCTCTGCTGGGACCCCACACTGACACATCTTGTACTTCCCGTTTCCAGGGAAATTCCTCTCCCGCTGCACCACACCCACCCTAGAGGACCTCCCGAGCTCTTGGCAGAGCGGAAGCCAGACACAGACAGGGACTCTGAAGCGACAATCCCCAGCCCTGTGTGGGTCAGGGGCCCCAGAGGGGTGGGAGGCCACGCTTCGGAAAGGGAGCTCCTCGACCCCCGAGAGCCAGACAGGGCTGGCATGGGCTGGGACACAGAGCTTCTTGGGGGAGGAGAGGACCCCGTGCTGAACTTAGCTCTTTGCCCTTGCAGCTCTCTCTCTGGACAGAGACCCCTTCCCAGGTCCCCAGCCACCCCAGCTTCCTGCTCTGGCTGTTGGGAGGCCCTGCACCCACACATGCCCCTACCAGCCCCCTCCCAAGATCAGCTGCAACCCAGGAGTTCACAGAGCCCTGCTGTCTCTCAGATCTCCAGCCTCCACTCCACCCTGTTCTTGGTCCCCAATTAGTGTGCTGCTTTGAGGTTGCAAACAAAACTGAACTCTGCTTCCTGGGGCTCAGGGTCGATGGAGGGCTGCACCACCTGGGGCTCCTTCTAGCAGGAAAGCCATCTCTCCCCCTCTCACTGGGGACAACCCCCAAGCCCAGGCAAGACCAGGCAAGACTCGCTTGGGGAGCCCAGTTCGGAAACTCCCTCCAAGAAAGGGGAAACCAGTGTTTTCTGTTCCTTCAGCTCATCAGGACATGGCTGAGGTGGTGGCATGCACCTGTGCACCGGCAATCCTAGCAGCCTGGGAGGCTGAAGTAGGATGGCCAGTTTGGGGCCTACCCTGGGCAATTTAGTGACTTTTTTTTTTTTTTTATTTTTTTGGGTCAGAACCAGGGATTGAACTCTGGCCCCTGCGCTTGCCAGGCAAGCACTTATTCCACAGAGCCATCTCCCCAACCCCAGCAATTTAGTCACTTACTTAGACTCTGTCTCAACATTTTTTTTTTCTCTTGAGACAAACTCTCACTCTGTAATTCAGGCTGGCCTTGAACCCACTATGTAGCCCAGGTTGGCCTCAATCTCGAGGTGATTCTCCTGCCCAATCTCAAAAATAAACAACTTTTTAAAGGAATAAGAATGTAGCTCAGTGTGAAGGCCCTGGGTCCAATCCCCATTACAGGTTTTTGTTGTTGTTGTTTTTGTTTTGTTTTTTTAAATCTATTTAGGACAGGGTCTACAGGGTCTCACTATGTAGATCAGACTCATAGTGATTCTCCTGTTTTCAGCCTCCCAAGTGCTGGGATTCCATTGCACGCCACCACGCCTAGTCTCAATAGCTGTCTCAAGGAGCCCCACGGGCAGGCAGGGCCAGAACAGCACACTGGGGATCAGACCCAGCCATTGCACTCTGCCTAAGCAGGCACTTTAGTCCACTGAGCTATCAGTCCAGCCCTATTACAGGGATTTAAAAAGTCATAGTCAAGCTTGAGATTGCACCGATGGAAAATGCTAGGTTTCCAAACCCCACACATTCTACCAGATCCATACTCTCTGTGTTGGCAAAAACCCGTAGACCGAAAAACACTGTGTATAGAGTCAGGGTGCCCAGACTGTGGGTGATGGGGTCCCAGGAGAGCTGTTTGGTGACAACCATGCACTGTGGACCATGGACTGCATGAAGTCCTTACCTGGTGGCCTGTTTCCAGGGGTACCGGCTTTGTGATCCACTAAACTGAGCATGTCAATTCTGAGTCTGTTGCTGCATGTGTGTCTTTTACATTGTTAGCAGTTCTTTTTTGTAATTTACAAAAATCTTTTATTTTATTTATTTGGTACAAAGTCTCGCTACATAGCTCAGACTCGTAGTGATCCTCCTGTCTCAGCCTCCCGAGCACTAGGATCACAGGGGTATGCCACTGGGCCTGGTTTTGGTGGTCAGCACAGCGTGCCCAGGGTTCTGGGGCTGGCACAGCATGTGGTACTGGGGATCAAGGCCTGCTACTTGTGCTTACAAGGCAGGTGCTTAGTCCGCCAAGCTATCTCCCCAGCCACTAGCAGTTTTTGAGAATCTAAATACCTTCTATAAGGAGTCGAATGAACAATTTTTTTAAGTGCTGGTATGGGAGATTGAACCCGGGGCCTTTGCTCTGAGCTATATCCCCAACTCTTTTCTATTTGATTTTGAGACAGAGGTCTAAGTTGCCCAAGCTGGGCTTGAACTTTCATCAAATGTACAAATAATAAGTATACAACATGGACACTTTTGTCAAACCTATAACCATCACCTAGGTGAAAATTTAAGACATTTTCATCACCGTACAGTTCCCTGTGCTCCCTCCAAGTCACTGTGCACCCCAGAGGGGGCCATGATTCTGAGTTCTATCATCACAGTTAGTTTACTATAGGCTTGGATGCATTTCATAGTTAGGGATACAGCTGCTATCATAGAGAGGGAAGTGGAGGATACAATTCATTATTATCATTATTATTAGTGATCTTTTTGAGATAGGGTTTCACTGTATAGTTCAGGCTGCCTTGAGCTCACTTTGTAGCCTAGGCTGGTCTTGATCTTTCCATGATCTTCCTGCTTCAGCCTCCCGAGTGTGGAGAGTACAGGTATGGGCCACCATGCCTGGCTGATACAATTCTTAATGTGAAAAGCGTGCCTAAAAAAAGGAGGGTTATTTGAATTTGTAAAAAACTACCAGTCGAATGTGGCTGGTGGTACATAATTAATCGCAGCACCCTGGGAGGCTGAGGCAGTAGGACTGAAAGTTGGATCCTAGCTGGGACAACTTGTTGGCTTACAGAGATCCTGTCTCGAAATAGAAAAGGACTGGGGATGTAGCTCCATGTGAAGGTCCTCGGTTCAGGCACCAGTGCAACAGGAAAAATAGCCAAAAGCAAAAGGAATTGTCGCCAAGGAAATAGGGGATTTGGATCCAGCCTGGCTTCTTAGTGCTGGGGGATCAGACGGTCGGTCACACTTCTTGGAGCAGTGAGGCTGTGGATGCCCTGGGGTGAAGGCAGGGGTGAAGGCAGCAAGGGAAGCCCCACGGGCCTACTCGCAATTCTGATAAGAGGTCCCCAACCCCCGTCTCCTTCTCCAGCTGCTGCAGGTCTCCCCAAGGCCAAGGTTGGAGGAAGCGTGCTCTCAAGGGTGTCTGCCCAGAAACAGCGAGGCTCCTTATCTTTCCTGCCTCACCCCTGAGGGTCTGGAGGATTCTGGGCCCCTTCACTGCTTGTCCTGTCTGGGGAGGGAGTGGTAGAGGCTCTCAGGATGGAGAGGAGACACCAGCTCCGCTGTCTTCTTTGCCCAGTGCAGCTTTCAGTGCTTACAGCGTGCTGTGGCTCCGCCAGTGCTGGGCGCAGGAGGGTCAGGGATGCAGTTTAGCTCCCCTGGGAGCCACGCTGGCTTCAGGGATGGAAAGGCCTCTACCTCTTCCCAGTGGAGGAGGGGAGAGCCTAGAGAGGTGGCTCTCTGCAACCAACTGCCAGCTGCTGGCCAAGAGAGGCAAAGCCTGGGGTGCAGCCCTTGCTGGGGGTTAGAAAGCCACCAGAACAAGACTGCCAGTGCCTCAGCAGCTTTGTCCTGCAGGTCTCTGAGGGGTCTTAGAAGCATGTCAGCTCTTCTCTCAAGCATGAAGGAAGTCGCCTGGAGAGGACTTCCAAGGGCACTGTTAGCGTTACCTCTGCCCAAAGTAGCCTGTGTTTTCCTGCTCCAGAGCCTTTGCTCAGGTCATTCTTGCTGTCTGGAGCATCCCCTCACTATTTATGACCTTGTTAAAATGCCACCCAGGTCATCCCACTTCTGTCTTTGGGGATCAGCTGTCCACTGGCAGGACAGATAGAGTCACCCCCATTTGGCAACCCCTCGCCCCAAGGCAGGGCCTTCTACAGAAAGCAAGACCTCTTCTGTCCAACTCTGGGGTACAGTTGAAGTGAATTCCTACTCTAGCCCTGAACTCGGCTTCGAGAGACTGATCACCCCCTTCCTCAGGGCACCTGGGACAGTGTGCCTTCCAGCTGGGGTGCTCTGGGCCCAAGTGGCTGCCCTGGGAAGGGACCCCAGGAAGGCTGAGAAGCATACCAGAGCCTGAGCAGGAAGAGTGGCTGGGCTTGTACCTTCTGTCTTCCTGCCTCAGCCTCTCAGA